CAAACTCTAACGGATAGAATTTTATCCATTCAATTAGGCATGATTATCCGTCAAATCAATTCCCTCTCCTCTGTGATCCCTAATAAATAGGTTATAGGGGTTATCGATCATCCTTTACTTCTCTCAGCTTTCCTTCGAGTGTTTATCAGTCGCCTCAAGGTAAATCTATTGTCTTATTTTCTCTTATTTTTCTTGTTTTCTATTCATCGAGTACGGGCAAAAAGATCCTCCGTTCTCGTGCCAGTATCCTCGGTCCTTCTAAGGATGATTTCGTAGATCAAAAACTCCTGAATTACGAGGATACCTGGTCTTTTTATAATGACGATATCGTATCTTTGAAAGAAAATGGGGCTTTCCCCGTCGGCACCATCTTGAAGTCTTTCGATGTTAAGGTCCAACCAGATTTTCTCTCTCCCACTTGGGTCTGCTTCCTCGAATACCCTTTCTCCTTGGGCCTGAAAAACCCTTTTTATGGCTTCATCTCTGAGTTCTTTGAAGTCATTAAAATCTCCTACATTCAGACCATGCCTGTGATATGGAGGATTCTTTTCTGGATTGATCGGCTGAATCAGTCCATGGATCTTAAGATTAGTTTATCTGAGCTGGCTTACATCTATGATATCTCAACCTTTGGGTCTTCTTGATTATTGTTTAAAGTTAAACCCAATAGAGCACATCTTGTTCTGAAAACCAAACATAATGATGATTCTTAGAAACAAAGGGTTTTTCTTTATGAGACGAGATTCTATTCCCAACAACGATCTCCTACCAACAAACTGGGTTAATAAGGTTAGGATTTGATTTGTTCGGGATCCGAGATTCACAGTCTTCTTATTTTGTGTGATTTTTTTTGCAGACATTAAGCTCGAAGAACTTGCCCCCGCCAATGAGGAAACCAAAGAGAAAATCAAGAATCTCCTTGCCTTGCCTTAAATCAAAAGAACCTTGAAATTTGAGCCATCCAGCTTGCAAGAAAGTTCATCTACTACCTTCCCGATGTCTACTGGTAAGGGTCCTCAATTTACGTACTTGATCATCAGGATCTCGAACTTATGAGGATCCTATGTGATTATTAGGACCCAAGGCTACTCGTTCTGGTGCTCGTTTTGCCCTCTCCGACCTTGAAGAGGCTATATCAGTCGGTCAGCTTGTGATTAAGAAGGAAAAGCCTTCTTCTTCCCATCCTCCAAAGAGGGTAGTGATCGACTTATTTGTGAAGACTTCTGGATCGAAGAAGAGGAAGGCTTCTAAGATCTCGGACCTTAGTTTGGAGGGTCTAGGGGCCGAGGAAGCCATGAAGAAGCTAATCTCTGTCTCGCAAGCTGTAAGTATTTCTAAATTATCTTTTATCTTTTATGCTTGATGTTTAGTTTATTGAAAGCATTCTTTCTTAGGTCGTGGATCATGTTTCTCGATCCATTGGGGATGTAAAGTTGAGGGCTGAAGAGGTTGAACGCGCCCTGAAGGAATAGGAGAAGGTTTGGAAGGCGACCAATGAAGATCTTCTGAAGAGGGTGGAGAAGTTAAGCAAGGAGAAAGTAGAGAGCGAAGAAGAGCATGCCTTCGCAATTGAGGAGGTAATCGTTGAGGTGAAGAGTAGTGCTGTTGAAGCCGTCTGGGAGGCAAAGATCAAGATAGCAGAGGATGTGGAGAATGCGGGATCCTGGAACGTGGATGGATGACGTGAAGCCCTATCCAAGTAAACTGGAAAGCACGTTAATGTTAGTCAGGATCCCACAGAGAAGAAAGGAGAAGAAAAAGAGAAGAAAGAGGGAGAGAAGGAAACATATGAGACCCCAGCTGGAGGGGATCAAATCTTGAATTAGGTTTGATTAGTTTATTTAAAAAACAGTTTTAATAATCGGTTTGTAAGAAAATTTTATTTTTCTTTTTTTTCCGGTTTGGTGGGCAACCCTTTTTAATTTTCATGCCTTGCTTTTACTATCTCTTTGCATGGTTGATTTGGTTGTAGAAATAGGATTAAAGTAGTTTTTTTCCTAAGGGTTATCAGATGATTAGGATCCTAAAGAGTTTATGTAACGTCCCAAAATTTAAGACTAAAAATTTCAATTTTTATAATAATAAAACCACCGTCCAAAACATTTTCATAAAACCGTAACGAAATTAGAGTATGTCAAAATCATCCAAATACATCAGAGTCAAATAAAATGCGGAACAATGTGGTGTGTGCAATGCGATCATCCCGAGCTCTTCCCCTTCGATCTAGAAGTACCTGGAACATAAACTGAAACCGTAAGCACAAAGCTTAGTGAGTTCCCCAAAATACCGCATACCGTACATATCTGCCAGCTCAAGGCTATGCTAGGTCTATTTCACCCCCAAGTCTATTTCAACTCATGCGTCGGCCCAAGCCGTATCGGGTATATTTCACCCCCAGGTATATTTCACCCCCAAGTCTGTTTCAACTCACATGTCAGCACAAGGCTGTACCGGGTCTATTTCACCCCCAGGTCTATTTCACCCCACATACATATAACAAACAGGCACACATGCATATAACACATACATCAGGAGCCACAATGACTAAAATCATATAACATATCCTAGTGTCCTATAGTATAGTGAACAAACTCACCTCAGTCCGCTGACAGTCAAAAAAATGATCGGGCTGCTGAACCGAAAATCCCCACTAATCACAAGTAAAGAAACCCTAATTAGAAATTAAGTCAATAATCAAATCCGTGAGTCCAAACCTTAAATACTGTCTTTAAGGGAAAAAGTGACTTATTGTTTCCCTTATTGGGCCTAACCCATCAAGGCCCAAATGCTACTAGCCATGAAGCCCAAAAGATAATCTATGTCCAAAATGGGCCTAAGCTCCAAATAGCAAAAGATTACGGCCCAATAAGGTCCCAAAGTTCCTAAGTCCCACACATAGCCCGAAACAAATATAAGTTGTCATAGAAAATATGTATGAACTTATTTTTTTATACAAAAACAAGTTATCCATATTCTCCAAAAACTAAGATTTCCAAAAATCAAAAAATCTAACCAAACTTGCAAGGTGGCTCTGATATCAATTGTTGGGTCTTACTTCAAAAATAGTTTCATAAACTTGAAAAATATGGAAACGGAAGACGTAAAATTTTGAACATAACATAACATTTTATACCAACCAAGGATCTCCTTACAAGTTATAGAAAGATAAAATACCAACCATAGAAATGATGAAGAAATAACAACCTTTGTTGTTCTTTGGATCCTCTTGAGAGGCTTGACAGTTGATGAAGAAGATGAAACCTTTGAGACACCAAAAATGACTCAACTTGATGCAGATGCTAGTCAAAAACTCTTGAACCCTTAAACTTTAAGTTCGTAACCAATATGAACTTAAAGAGGGCATGTAAAATGAAGTAATCTCCAAGTCTTCAAAACAAAACTAGAGAGAATGAGGGAAGAGGAACGACTTTTGGCCATTTGCATCTAAAGGAAAAGATGAGTGCATGACACATATCTTATATGCATAAAGTGAATTTATGGACCATAAGTCCTTAACACTTTAAGACAATAATGTCTCCTAAAGCTTACTTGTCTCCCATGCACCTTAAGACATGCCATACTTTCCTTTAAAATAATCAAAAGCCCATAACATGCTTCCTAGAAGCATGTTTCGGATTTAAATATAAAAGAAGTCAAACTTTTATAAAAAAACTCATAAGCCTTTTATAAGTTATAAAGTTTGCTTTTTGGCTAAAAGACAAAAGTCTTTCTAGTCCAAAATAATGTACATGACTTATAAATCATACCATATGATATATTATGTTACTTGCTAATAAAAATTATTATTTTCATGAAATAAATAATTTCCAATTTAATTATAAGAGTTTTATTGACTATTATTAAAATCAAGTTCTATTAAATAATCAATTATATCAAGTTGTTGTTAGTGTGACTCATTAGTATCATATGTTAACTAGCAATATCACTTTAATATGATTCTTGAGCATAATAGACATTTCAGTTTTCGTATCCTGTGAATCACTCTGATTTGATGATGTTTTGTTAAATCTTGGTTTTATGGGAGATATATGTATTAACGATTATTAATCCAAAAAAAAAAATTATGTCACGTTTTTCGGGTCGTTACATTATGATTTCAGGTACTTTCGGTTCGAAAGGGAAGGGTCCGGCTTGATCGTAGCACATCCACCCATGTTTCCACAACCATATGATTTGAGGATTGTACTCTGATAACTGTTTTTATTCTGAAATACTTTTGAATGATTGGAAAAAGGATAATTGGTGTTTCTGGTTCAATTAAAAATGAAATTTTTACTTTATAATTTTTGGGAAGTTACAAACACATTGTCTTCTTTATTTTATGTTATGTATACAACACAATTATAGATATTATTTTAGGACATGAAAGATAATTGCGTAGATTTGTCATCGTACATTGCTAATATGGGAACAAATGAAAGAAATTTTCTACAGCAAAGTAAAATCAATCTATTGTTAGCATTGCATTATCTACAAAAAAGAAAAATAAAAATAAACAACTTGATATAACGATAATCAGAAAGATTTGTCATAATATAATGTTATAATTGGAACAAATGAAAGTATGATGCCATAAAAAAATCAATATATTTTTTTTAAATCAGTTATACGTGTCCATCGGACGGATATAACACTAGTTGTATAAAGACATTGGTTATCTTAAGCATGAGCATGAGCACACCGGTACTTATTAGGGGTTAATATGAACCAAATATATCTACAAGGGAGCAAATTGAAAAAAAGTAGACAATCACAATATAGTTGGCGGTTGCCAAATATACTCGGGATTCTTTGTGCACGTAAGCAACAGTTTCGATCGATTTCGCTCCCTATATATAACCCTTGATCTCCCGCTTTTTTTGCGCATCAAACACAACTCGGAGGCAAGCCGAAGAAACCCTCTTCTTCACTTTCCGCGTCCGCCCTCTTTTTTTCTGTGTTTGTGCGTGCGAATCTTGAAGGGTCAAGTAAATTTAGCCATGGAAGTGAAGATGATTCCTGAATCCACTGCAGTCGGAGACGGAATGCGAACAGTTTCGACGAATATGGGAGCGATCGACGTTCTGGATTCTAATCTGAGTTTCGATTGTTATCATGGTGCTGACGTTATGGACCAGAATAACGGGAGGCCGAGTAAAAAACCGAAAATCGAAGAACAAGTAGTTGAATATGCATTGCCTGTAGGGTTTCTTGATCCTATTAATCCCGACGAACGCTCGTTGGTCTCTGTGCCGCAAACGCAATCCATCTTAGAATACCAAAACACTGATGATCATAATCTCAAGGCTATCGTTTCATCTATGAGCAAACAGTTTTGGAAGGCAGGGGATTATGAGGTTTCTGTTAACAATAGAGAATCCGTATCACACCCTGGTAATCGATTTGCTTCAGGATTATTAATCTTTCTTATTTTTCATATGTGAAAAAAAGTAGTAACAGAGAAGAAATATTTTGACGGGCATGGCTCAAAATCATAGTGTTGCATCAGTTTGTTTTGTTATGCATCTGATGAACCCTTGATTCTTCTTTAGTTGATAGTTCTTGAAGAAGATTGTGAAGTTATTGTAGCCCTAGGCATTCACTAGAGTAATTTAATGGGTTTCTTTTTTAATTTTTTCTTTTGTAAGTAGTTGTTAAAAATTAAACCTTGTTCATGCTGACAAAGATGTAATTTGTACAGCAGCTGGTATGGATCACGTGAGGGTTCATCCCAGATTTTTGCATTCAAATGCTACCAGCCACAAGTGGGCACTAGGAGGTAATTAATTACTAGTTTTATTGACGAATATTGTATAATGCATGGTTCTAAAACTTCAATGTAAACTGATGTTTGATTTTTATATTTTAGCTTTTGCTGAGCTTCTTGACAATTCTTTAGACGAGGTATATAAGATTATAAACTCTTTCTTGCGCTGCAATTTAGTTTCTGCAAATCCTCTGATTTTATTTTTTTCTCTTTGACATGCTCAGGTGCGCACTGGAGCTACTTATGTTAATGTAGATGTGCTGAATAATGAAAAAGACATTGGTAGCAAGATGTTACTGATCGAAGGTACATCACTGCTTCTGGAGTTATCATTCATACATAGCTTCGAGTTGAAGATATCAACAGATTGAAATTGTGATATATAATCTTTGTTTAGATATTTATATATGTATTTTGTTTGTTTTTCTTTTTTAACTAAAGAGGTGTTAATTGCTTGATTTTTGAGGGCAGATAATGGTGGTGGAATGACTCCTGATAAATTGCGTGGATGCATGTCTCTTGGCTACTCTGTGAAAAGCAAGTTGGCCAACACTATTGGTCAATGTGAGTGTAGATTTATGTTTTTCTGCAATTCAATATGTTCACATAAACATATAATCAACAATTTAATTTGTTTTAGATGGGAATGGTTTCAAGACAAGTACAATGAGGCTTGGAGCAGATGTTTTAGTATTTACTCGTTGCCCAGGACAGGAGGGTAGAAGGTATAGAATTTGTTGATGGACGTTTATTGTTGTATTCTTTTTATTTTTATTATGAGGAGTTCCTTATCATCATTGGTAAGATCGAAACTAACTTGGTTTGACTGTTGTTTTTTGTTAGCCCAACTCAAAGTATCGGAATGCTATCATACACATTTTTAATGGAAACTGGAAAGGAAGATATTGTGGTTCCAATGGTACGTACAACCCTAGTTTTGTTTCTATATATCCATGCAATAGTTATAGATGTATATAACACATGAATCAAGCTCCTTG